TGATGAGGGTATCAAATGATTTAGAAAAAGAAAAATTGGATATCAAATTGGGGAGGAGGAGTATGGAAGAAGTGAATGTTTTCCGATACTTGGGAGTTGACGTGTCGGCAGATGGATTTATGAAGGGTGAGGTTAATCATAGAATTGATGAGGGAAAAAAGGTGAGTGGTGCGTTGATGTATATGTGGAGTCAAAAAACGTTATCTATGGAGGCAAAGAAGGGAATGTATGAAGTAGTAGTACCAACACTCTTATATGGATGTGAAGCTTGGGTTGTGAATGCAGCAGCGAGGAGATGGTTGGAGGCAGTGGAGATGTCCTGTCTAAGGGCAATGTGTGGTGTAAATATTATGCAGAAAATTTGGAGTGTGGAAATTAGGAGAAGGTGTGGAGTTAATAAAAGTATTAGTCAGAGGGCAGAAGAGGGGTTGTTGAGGTGGTTTGGTCATTTAGAGAGAATAGATCAAAGTAGAATGACATGGAAAGCATATAAATCTATAGGGGAAGGAAGGTGGGGTAGGGGTCGTCCTCGAAAGGGTTGGAGAGAGAGGGTAAAGGAGGTTTTGTGGGCGAGGGGCTTGGACTTCCAGCAAGCGTGTGTGAGAGTGTTAGATAGGAGTGAATAGAGGCGAATGGTACTTGGGACCTGACGATCTGTTGGAGTGTGAGCAGGGTAATATTTAGTGAAGGGATTCAGGGAAACTGGTTATTTTCATATGGTCGGACTTGAGTCCTGGAAATGGGAAGTACAATGCCTGCACTTTAACCCTTTGACTGTTTTGGTCGTATATATACGTCTTACGAGCCAGTGTTTCAGACGTATATATACTCAATAATTCTAGCGGCTTCAAATCAAGCGGAAGAAAGCTGGTAGGCCCACATGTGAGAGAATGGGTCTGTGTGGTCAGTGTGCACCACATAAAAAAAATCCTGCAGCACACAGTGCGTAATGAGAAAAAAAACTGATCGTTTTTTTTGGATTAAAACGCCGACTTTGAGGTGTATTTTCGTATAGTATTTATCAATGTATTTGCGTTTTCATGGTCTTAGGTGATAAAATGGAAAACATATTACAGAAATAGAGATGATTTTCTTTACTTTGACGATGAAAACGACCTTGAAACTGAGCTCAAAGTAGCGGAAATGTTCGATTTTTACCAATGTTCAGGAGTAAACAAATCACACCACATGTCCAATACACGTCAACTGGGGAGTCTAATATTCTTTCACTAGTGCACTGATATTATTTATACCATTTTTACAATAATGCAGTAGTCTGCATAACAGTCAATTTTGTATTTTTTTGTATGAATAAAAAATCAAAATAGAAAGCAATAATAATATAAGAGGGGCCTAGAGATGTGACTAATGAACAGAGGATATGTTATTTTAGTGCCAAGAATGTCTACCTTGTTTATTCTGGACCCTATTTTGAAATTGGCATCTTTTTTAGTTTGCGTGAAATTGGCCAAATTGCCAATTTCTGACCACAATATTGGGTAGTCCAAATTGGTAAATGGGAGGATTCTTGTATTCAGCGGATAGATAAAATGGATTTCTAAAGAAATAGCTATGAGTTTGGTCAACTGGAACAACGAAATTGGCTGAAAATAGGGCTCAAAGTCGGCAAAATCGCCGATATGCATATGTCGCCGAGACCGCTAACTTCGAGGGTGTAATTCCATGAGTTTTCGACCAAATCTCGAACTTTTGGTGTCATTACCATCGGGAAAAGATTCTCTATCATTTCATAAGAAAAAATATTCAAAAATTTAGCGACATAGAATGACAGTTTCAGAAAGGGGCCTGAAACAGTCAAAGGGTTAAAGGAGGGGTTTGGGATATTGGCAGTATGGAGGGATATGTTGTGTATCTTTATACGTATATGCTTCTAAACTGTTGTATTCTGAGCACCTCTGCAAAAACAGTGATAATGTGTGAGTGTGGTGAAAGTGTTGAATGATGATGAAAGTATTTTCTGTTTTGGGATTTTCTTTCTTTTTTTTTGTGTCACCCTGCCTCGGTTGGAGACGGCCGGCTTGTTGGAAAAAAAAAAAAAATGAAAATATAAAAAAAAACATAGATCTACTTTTGGAGCACTACGCATGTGAACGTAGATCTATGTTTGAACAGTTTAAGGGTTAAATATTGTATATTAAGTATGAGATGGGGAGCCAGGGATACCTACACCTGACTTCCTACAAATAAGTACTACTCACCTCTTGCCCTACATTAAGACTACAAATATTTTAAGGTAAGTAATGAATGTACTGTGTATGTATTTTACTTTTTATTTTTTTTAATGCCTAGCTCTATTACTAACTTAATATAAGTTAGTGTAAACTTGTTGTCTGGCATTTATATGCATTTATAAATGGATAAAACGGCGTTCTGCTTTCCGGCGATGTCTGCTTTCTGACGATGGCCTGGAACCTAACCTGCCATATAAGTGGGACCCTACTGTATATAAGATCATAAAAGAATATTAGGAAATAAAGAAATAAGGCTTGGTTTTTAAACATATGCATGCCATCCATACTAAAATACAGTGGACCCCCGCATAACGATGGCATCGCATAGCGATTTTTCCGCATAACGATTACTTTTATCGCAAAATTTTTGCCCCGCATACCGATTAAAAACCCGCATACCGATTTTCGTCCGAGACGCGTCCAATGTGCCCTCAGCCAGCCTCACATGTGCCGCTCCGTCCCATTGTTTACCAGCCAGCCTCCGCGGTAACATCCAAGCATACACTCGGAATATTTCGTATTATTACAGTATTTTCGGTGCTGTTTCTGGAAAATAAGTGACCATGGGCCCCAAGAAAGCTTCTAGTGCCAACCCTACACCTCAAAGGGTAAGAATTACTATAGAGATGAAGAAAGAGATAATTGATAAGTATGAAAGTGGAGTGCGTATAGCCGACCTAGTCAAGCTGTACAAGAAACCCCAATCAACCATCGCTACTATTGTGGGCACCAGAAAGACAATCAAGGAAGCTGTTCTTGCCAAAGGTTCAACTGTGTTTTCGAAACAAAGATCGCAATTGATGGAAGATGTTGAGAGACTCTTATTGGTGTGGATAAATGAAAAAACAGATAGCAGGAGATAGCGTCTCTCAAGCGATCATATGTGAAAAGGCTAGGAAGTTGCATGACGATTTAATTAAAAAAATGCCTGCAACTAGTGATGATGTGAGTGAATTTAAGGCCAGCAAAGGTTGGTTTGAGAGATTTAAGAAGCGTAGTGGCATCCATAGTGTGATAAGGCATGGTGAGGCTGCCAGTTCGGACCACAAAGCGGCTGAAAAATATGTGCAGGAATTCAAGGAGTACATAGAAACTGAAGGACTGAAACCTGAACAAGTGTTTAATTGTGATGAAACAGGCCTGTTCTGGAAGAAAATGCCAAGCAGGACCTACATTACTCAGGAGGAAAAGGCACTCCCAGGACATAAGCCTATGAAAGACAGGCTTACTTTGTTGATGTGTGCCAATGCTACTGGTGATTGCAAAGTGAAGCCTTTATTAGTGTATCACTCTGAAACTCCCAGAGCGTTCAGGCAAAAGAATGTCCTCAAGGATAATTTGTGTGTGCTGTGGAGGGCAAACAGTAAGGCATGGGTCACTAGGGAATTTTTCTATAAAACTGGTTACACCATGCATTTGCCCCCAATGTGAAAAATTACCTAACTGAAAAGAAATTAGAACTTAAGTGCCTCCTGGTGTTAGACAATGCCCCTGGTCATCCTACAGACGTGGCAGAGCGACTTTATGGGGACATGAGCTTCATTAAGGTGAAGTTTTTGCCTCCTAATACCACTCCTCTCCTGCAGCCCATGGACCAACAGGTTATTTCCAACTTCAAGAAACTGTACACAAAAGCTCTGTTTGAAAGGTGCTTTGTAATGACCTCAGAAACTCAACTGACTCTAAGAGAGTTTTGGAGAGATCACTTTAATATCCTCAATTGTGTAAACCTTATAGGTAAGGCTTGGGAGGAAGTGACAAAGAGGACCTTGAACTCTGCTTGGAAGAAACTGTGGCCAGAATGTGTAGACAAAAGGGATTTTGAAGGGTTTGAGGCTAACCCTGAGAATCCTGTGCCAGTTGAGGAATCCATTGTGGCATTGGGAAAGTCCTTGGGGTTGGAGGTTAGTGGGGAGGATGTGGAAGAGTTGGTGGAGGAGGACAATGAAGAACTAACCACTGATGAGCTGCTAGATCAACTTCAACAGCAAGAGGCCACACCTGAGGAAATTGCTTCGGAGGAGGGGAGAGAGAAATTGAAGAAGTTGCCTACTTCAAAGATTAAGGAAATCTGTGCAAAGTGGCTTGAAGTGCAAACCTTCATGGATGAAAATCACCCTCACACAGCTATTGCAAGCCGTGCTGGTGATTATTACACTGACAATGTTGTGAAACACTTTAGGCAAGTCATAAAGGAACGAGAGGTACAGGCCACTATGGACAGATATCTTGTGCGAAAGAAGTCCAGTGACTCTAAAGCTGGCCCTAGTGGCATTAAAAGAAGAAGGGAAGTAACCCCAGAAAAGGACTTACTACCTCAAGTCCTAATGGAAGGGGATTCCCCTTCTAAACACTAACACACTCTCTCCCCTCCTCCCATCCCATCAATCATCACCAGATCTTCAATAAAAGTAAGTGTCATTTAATTGTGCATGCCTTTTTCAGTTTGTGTGTATTAAAATTAACATTTCATGTGGTAAAAAAAATTTTTTTTCATACTTTTGGGCGTCTTGCACGGATTAATTTTATTTCCATTATTTCTTATGGGGAAAATTCATTCGCATAACGATTATTTCGCATAACGATGAGCCCTCTTGCACGGATTAAAATCGTTAACCGGGGGTCCACTGTACTAGATAATTTTAATCAATTATGTATCTAGGAACAAACATGTGCCTTGTTTCATGGTTTGCAATAAACATTGAAACTTCTTCACTTAAATTAACTTTATACTGTTTTTGTCCTCAGAAAGATGACCAAACCTTATAAGATGAAACTGTGGAAGTCAACAAATGAGGAATTGAGATACATGAAAAAAGAATTTTTAGAGGTATGTATTGTACTCCTGTATCCTAACTTTGCTTTCAAAGCCTAGTTGATCAGGCGCTGATCCACCGGGAGGCCTGGTCTTGGACTGGGGTGCAGGGGCATTGATCCCCGGAATACCCTCCAGGTAGGCAGACAGAATATTTTGTGGTATGCACTCCTGCATCTCATTTATGCAGAACATTTTGTTGTTTGTACTCATTTATCTTGTTTATGCAGAATATTTAGTACTGTGTATTCCTGTGTCCTCTGTACAAAATAATTGTCAGAAGTTCAAGTGAGCCTGTGATAACATCTCATTTCGACATTGCAGATTCTGCATTTCTTAACAAATGTTTACCAAAGAATATACATGTATTTGGTTCAAGGACAAATGTAGTGTACCGTATTACAGTTTATTAGTGTGTTCAGTAGTGTTTGTCATGCAATGAATTAAATCTGCTACATGGGGCATTTGTCTGTGTCCAATAGGCTTGAGATGCAGAGGACCTAGTCTGCTGCATTGAGCACTTCAATACAGTGGATTTTTGTTAAAATGGACATTTCTCCTTCCTATTACAAGTGCTTCTCAACTTACGATGGGGTTGCATTCTGATGAACCCATTGTAAGTTAAAAATATCGCAAGTTTTTATTTTATTTATTAGCACATCGGCCGTTTCCCACCAAGGTAGGGTGGCCTGAAAAAGAAAAACTTTCACCATCATTTATTCCATCACTGTCTTGCCAGAGCCGTGCTTACACTACAGTTATAAAACTGCAACATTAACACCCCTCTCCTTCAGAGTGCAGGCACTGTACTTACCATCTCCAGGACTCAAGTCTGGCCTGCTGGTTTTCCTGAATACCTTCATAAATATTACCCTGCTCACACTCCAACAGCATGTCAAGTTCTAAAAACCATTTATCCCCATTTGCTCCTATCTAACACACTCACACATGCTCGCTGGAAGTCCAATTCCCTCGCACACAAAACCTCCTCCCTCCAATCTTTCCTAGGCTGACCCCTACCCCTCCTTCCCTCCACTCATTCTATTTTGTTCCATCCTCTCCACATGTCAAAACCACCTCAACAACCCCTCCTCAGCCCTCTGGATAATAGTTTTGGTAATCCCGCACCTCCTCCTAATTTCCAAACTACGAATTCTCTGCATTCACACCACACATTTCCCTCAGACACGACATCTCCACTGCCTCCAGCCTTTTCCTTCTTGCAACATTCACCACCCATGCTTCACACCCATATAAGAGTGTTGGTATAACTATACTCTCATAGTCCCACAGACTCCTCAGTTCACCACTCACCTTTTCCCCTCAACAATTCTATGATTCACCTCATCTTTCATAGACCCACCTGCTGATCATCCATGCCTAAATATCTGAATACATTCACCTCCTCCATACCTCTCCCTTCAACCTGATATCCAATCTTTCATTACCTAATTTTTTTTGTGTTTTCATCATCACCTTACTCTTTCCTGTATTCACTTTTAATTTTCTTCTTTTACATACCCTACCAAACTCATCCACCAACTTCAGCAACTTTTCTTCTGAATCTCCCAAAAGCACAGTGTCATCAGCAAAGAGCAACTGTGACAACTCCCACTTTGTGTTAGATTCTTTATCTTTTAACCTCAAACCTCTTGCCAACACTTGAGCATTCACTTCTCTTACAACCATATCTATAAATATATTGAACAACCATGGTGACATCGCAAATGAGATACCCATGAGAGGCATCCTGTTCCACTGTTTGAGAATTGTCTAGTTCTTGTTTCAGTTTCCCATATTCTTTTGGACTGTCCTATCAGTGAGCTCGCAGAACTTTCGTCCGACGTCATCACCGCTTTAATGCCCTTACTTTATTTTTCCTCCTTCCTGACAGACCCACCTTTAACACAGACTCCCTCTTCAACTTTTTGACAGCAACTGATTTATTACACAAACTTTGATAATCCTTCTTTTAGCACTCCTCATAGCCCCTCCTAACTTTGTGTTTATTGTCATCTCCACCCTTATTTAACAAACTTTGATTTACAGTAGACCATTATATTACATGGATTTATTTGCCATGTTATGGTTATTGCACTACTGAAAAATTATAGCACAATTTTATATAACACTTTGTAAAATTAACTTTACACGATTCTGTTGGCGGGCGCGGAAAAAATTTCCCCAGTTCAAACAGTTCAAGCTGCTACCTTGTTGTGGGTCAGCGGGGGAGACCTCCCGCCATCCCCTGCCACCCCCGACACACCCGCCACCCCCATCCCAGCCTTCGTGCATACGTGTCCAGTACGAATACTCCCTAGGAGCTAGGTGCGTTTGTGAATTGTGTTTTGATCTTTTAATTGTCATATCTTGTATCTGAGATTTCAGGTACGTCTTGCTACTTCTACTTACACTTAGGTCACACTACACATACATGTACAAGCATATATATACACACACCCCTCTGGGTTTTCTGCTATTTTCTTTCAAGTTCTTGTTCTTGTTTATTTCCTCTTATCTCCATGGGGAAGTGGAACAGAATTCTTCCCCTGTAAGCCATGCGTGTTGTAAGAGGCAACTAAAATGCCGGGAGCAAGGAGCTAGTAACCCCTTCTCCTGTATAAATTACTAAATTTAAAAGAGAAACTTTTGTTTTTCTTTTTGGGCCACCCTGCCTCGGTGGGATACGGCCGGTTTATTGAAAGAAAGAAGATCTTGTATCTGCAAAGCAGTCATGGCACCCAGTAGGCATACCAGTGTTGCTGAAAGTGACAAGAAAAGGTATAAGCATTTAAGTCTTAGAGTTCACAAAGAAAATAGAGATAGACAAGAGATAGCCTGTGGCCGAGTGAAGCCTCAGTTTGTACAATTAATAAGAATGAGGTAAATATACGAGTTTGTGTGATGAATAACTGACGGACTGATAGACTTACTTGACTGACATACTAACTTTATTGACCTACTTAACTGACTTGCTTGACTGACTTGCTTGATTTACTTGACTGACTGACTTGACTGATTTGACTGACTTACTGACTTTACTGACTTAGACTTTTTCACTGAAGGGAACCCTGACAATGGTCTGAAATAGTGTTTAGAGCAGCTGATGCTTTACCGTCAGCTGTATAATGTACTGCAGGGTAAAATATAACAGAAATCCATTACAGAATTTATGCACACTCCAGTACAACCATCAACTTCAGTACCAGAACCTCTACCATCCACCTCAGTCCAGTAGGACCACAACATAACTCTCCACTCTCTTCACAATCATCCACAAACACCAGCACCCACAATTTAAGGTAAGAAATACAGTGGACCCTCGGGTAACGCCTTTAATCCATTCCAGAGAGCTAGCCTTTAACCGATTTAGCCTTTAGCCGAATTAATTTTCCCCATAAGAAATAATGGAAATGAAATTAATCCATTCCAGACACCCAAAAGTATTAAAATAATTTTTTAACATGAAATATACATTTTCCTACATAGAAAACAATGATACATGCACAATAAACATTACTGAAATGACACTTACCTTTATTGTGGACTTGTTGATGAGTGATGAGACGGGACATTGTTTTCTTGAACACTCTGGGACATGCAGGGAGTGTAGCAGGCATGCAGGGAGTGTAGCAGGCATGCAGGGAGTGTAGCAGGCATGCAGGGAGTGTAGCAGGCATGCAGGAAGCGTAGCAGGCATGCAGGGAGTGTAGCAGGCATGCAGGGAGTGTAGCAGGCATGCAGGGAGTGTAGCAGGCATGCAGGAAGCATAGCAGGCATGCAGGGAGTGTAGCAGGCATGCAGGGAGTGTAGCAGGCATGCAGGGAGTGTAGCAGGCATGCAGGAAGCGTAGCAGGCATGCAGGAAGTGTAGCAGGCATGCAGGGAGTTTAGAAGGCATGCAGGGAGTGTAGCAGGCATGCAGGGAGTGTAGCAGGCATGCAGGAAGTGTAGCAGGCATGCAGGGAGTGTAGCAGGCATGCAGGGAGTGTAGCAGGCATGCAGGGAGTGTAGCAGGCATGCAGGAAGTGTAGCAGGCATGCAGGGAGTTTAGCAGGCATGCAGGAAGTGTAGCAGGCATGCAGGAAGTGTAGCAGGCATACAGGTAGTGTAGTAGGCATGCAGGGAGTGTAGTAGGCATGCAGGGAGTGTAGCAAGCATGCAGGGAGTGTAGCAGACATGCAGGGAGTGTAGCAGGCATGCAAGGAGTGTAGCAAGCATGCAGGGAGTGTAGCAGGCATACAGGGAGTGTAGCAGGCATGCAGGGAGTGTAGCTGACATGCAGGGAGTGTAGCAGGCATGTAGGGAGTGTAGCAGGCATGCAGGGAGTGTAGCAGGCATGCAGGGAGTGTAGCAGACATGCAGGGAGTGTAGCAGGCATGCAGGGAGTGTAGCTGACATGCAGGGAGTGTAGCTGACATGCAGGTAGTGTACCAGGCATGCAGGAAGTGTAGCAAGCATACAGGGAGTGTAGCTGACATGCAGGGAGTGTAGCAGACATGCATGGAGTGTAGCTGACATGCAGGAAGTGTATCAGGCATGCAGGGAGTGTAGCTACGAGTTTTTTCTTGATTTTATTGTGTTTCTTTCCTTCTTATCACAGGGCTGGCACTAGAAACTTTCTTTGGGCCCATGGTGGATTATGTAGCAGTTACAAGCACTAAAAACAATGGAATAATACAAAATGTATCGCATGTACGCGTGGAATCGTTCGCAACGGCTTGTAAATAATGGCACACTGGCTGTACACGGAGTTATGGAGTGGCTGGGCCCACTCAGGCCGCGCAGACACCTTCAGGACGAAAACCCTTAACTGAGTTATTTGGCGTTTGCCGAGCCAATATTTTGACGCCAAAGCGAGCCGTTATCCGATTTTGGCACTAACCGATGATGCCTTTACCCGAGGGTCCACTGTACTGGTATTTCTGTTGCATTTGTAGTCTTAATCAGTGAAAAAAGCATAATGCATCATGACAATGAACAGCAGTTACATCTTTCTTTTCTTTCAACACACCG